TACTTACGTACGTACGTAACGTAGTAGTAGTAAGTAAGTTAAATTTAACTTTTACGTTTAGTTACGTTACGTTCGTTCGTACTAGTCGACTACGTAGTAGTGTGTGTCTCTCTCTCTCTCTCTCTCTCTCTCTCTCTCTCTCTCTCTCTCTCTCTTTCTTACACACACACACACAATGACACGCACACAAGTGAAGCAAAATTGTTGGAAATGTTTGGGTATATCTCCTGGAATCCTTATTGTCTTTTTTTGTGTGATTGGAAATATCCAAAAATTGGTTCGATCCTCTTATAGTTCATCAAATGAGCTCCAAGAGTATTTGTAGCGTTATATCATGTTTAAGAACTTGGTCGTAAGACTAAGGACTTGCCTCAGTCAACTCGGCTCAGGCACAATTCCCCAATCTCTTCTTTGAATGGGGAAAAAAAAAAAAGAAAAGGAAAAAAACAATAATGGAATTGGGGTGAAGTAGGGGACTAGATACCTGGAAGTTGGTCGGTATTTACTCCTTTGCCTTTTTCTGCTGGTGTCCTCTTTTTGCGAAGTAATAATGCATGATACTGGATATTGTGGTGAACTTCTCATTATTAAAGAAACTGGGGTATTTTCCTTTTCATTTGTTAGGATCTGATAGCTATGGGGTCAGGTTTCTAACATCCTGTCTTTCTAAATAATTTTCATGAATTAGGGAAACCCACTATGGAATCTGTTGGATAAAAATATAATAGTTTTTTTGCGGAGTGAACAATGTTTTATTCATGGAATCTCCATAAGATTATAATGCTGGATTTCAAATATTTTAGTGTGATCACAATTATATTTGGCTTTGACCTCTTGGACATGTGGCTTCAGCTTGAGAAGTTCCAATGCTTGTTCTGATCAGTATTAGTTTTGCATACTACCTTTGTGAATGGTTTGAATTGTTCCGTATCTGGAGATAAATATGAACCTGGTTCCATGGTTCCAAGTAGGATAAGGATACCAGAAGTCTTCCAGTGTACCACATCTTTTTTTTTATTGAGCAATATCCACTTATGTGCACACAATTCTTTTTCTTTTTTTTTAATTCCTTGACTTCATTTTACCTGACAGAATACACTTTTAGCTTCTTCTTCTTCTTCCTCTTTTTTTTTTTTGCTCTGTTGCTATTTTAACAGCCTTCTTGGTGCTTGATGGGAGTACAGAGTTCCATGGTTTTATTTTAGTTATTTGGATATTATCACAGAGGTCTATTGTGTTTTTCAGCCCAGGTATGTGGTTAATCAAGTAACAGCTGGGGACTATGATTGCCCAAGAAGAGTATTAAAGTTTTTGACGGAACTGCATGCTGCTTTTAGAATGCTTAACCTTCGAAATGACTTCCTTCGTAAGAAGTTTGATGGTATGTTCTTGCCTGCTCATCTTGAAATTTTTATGCAGTTAAAAGAATATATGGATCCACAAGTTAACAACGAGATAGTTTGCATGGACATTGGATCTCTATTTTTCCATAGTTGTGAAATACAACATTCTTTTTCTTAAAGAATGATAATAGTACGAAAAGATTAGACATTTGTTTAATGGGTATGCAGAAAATGTCAAAAGCATGCAAGCACAATCTCAAAGTTATGAAAAACATAATCATAAAGGTAAAATATCAAAAAGGGGTTGAAATCCTTTACAATATGATTAAGGGGTTAAAAGATTACGAATTACCATTAAAGGTATGCCTCGAAAAATCTATATCCATCAGGTACGTCCTCTATAAAAATGTTGAAAAGTTTCCAAATTGCCCATATTTGGTGTTGGAAAACCGAACAATTAGGGGTACTTTGATAATTTTATCTGCTTTAACCAAATAATAATTGTAAGTAAAATTACTAAAGTACCATTAATTATTTTGGCTTTCCAACACTGAATAAGGATAATTTTTTTGTTTTTTTGTTTTTTTTAAGGATGTGCCTTATATAGAAATTTAAAAACATATATTCAAGTGTAATTTTTAATCTTTTGTCCTCTTTAGTGATATTTAAGGAATTTCAGCCCTTTTTTATATTTTCCCTAACCATAATTATTGAACAATAGAAAAGAATAAAAATGTATATTGTACCTTAAGGCCATATCTCCATCGAGGGGCACTAATCAATAGCTGGAAATTGATTGTACCCTGTTGAATGCCGTGGTGTTTGATTGTACCCTATTGAATGCCCTTGTGTTCCTGTCTTCGGTTCAATTCCAGCCTTTTTGATGCAGGGAGAAAATAATAACAATAATAAAGAAGAAAAAAGTTGAGAGAATATACTCGCTTAATATCTGAGAGGGAATCCACCCCTAATGAGATAATATATTCTCTCTCAGGTCCTGCAAGGAAATTCACCCAAAAACGATATTTCTCTCTCTTTTACGTTTTTCCTCTCCTTCCCTATTTTCTCATTTTTCATCTCCCAATTTTCTCTCTTTCCTCACAGATCTCTCTAATCTTCTAATAACTTTTAACTCCCCCTTATCTTATTCCATCTCTATCGAAATCTCCCATAAATATCTAAGCAAACATCCCAAGCCCATGAAAATACACTTTGGAAAACAACTCACGCACTAAAAAACTCACGTCAGTTAACCTATTCTTAAAATTAAAAAAATATAAATAAAAAATTAAAAGAACCGCAATTTTTATTTGCATCACTTCCTGGAAAGAGATATCTGATATAGCCTTGGAGTACTAAATAACATAACCTATTGGATTCTAGTGCATACTCCTGAATTCAAAGTTTGGAACTATGGATACTTACTTTTATTATGGCTTCATGTAGATGACTATGACTGTTTCTTTTTCTCATTTACAGGCATGAAATATGATTTGAGAAGGGTTGAGGAGGTTTTCTACGATGTCAAGATCCGAGGCTTGGCCAAGGATGCAAAATTGGAGGGCACTCAACCATCTGATAGTTGAATGGTCAGTAAGATGCCAAGTTTTTGTATGTTTCTCTTTTGGAGACTACCAGCTCGTTTTTATCAGTGTCAATGGATTCTTGGTCGGGATTCTTACCCATTTGTGATACCTATTGTTCTAATCGTAGTTACAGGGATTGCCCAGCCAAAATCCGGATCCTACCCTTGAGGGAGGAGAATTTTGCTCCTCCATGATCTGTACATTTTGAAATTTCAATTATCTTGAGTTACACAGAATTCAGGTTTCTTACCCTCATATTTGAGGGTTCTGTTATCTGGGCTTTTCTACCAAGGGTATGAGATTTTTTTTCTTGAGAAATGTTAGCTTAGGGGATGAGATTACTTAAGACCAAAAAAAAAAAAGCAAAATCAAAGGGTAAAGATTTCTATACGTTCCCTATGTATAATAGATATATATTTACCCACCCTTCATCTAGCCGTCCAATTTAGATCAAGTGAGCTACTGACAATTTGATTTAGACCCAATGACTTAAGAGTAATTTTTTTTTTACAAATTATATGAATATGAAAATTGGTACGTGCAATCATCTCAATAGGGTGCACCTACAAAAATATTAAAAACCATTTTTTGATAAAAGATAATGACCAAATTACTTGTTTAAACTTTTAGGGGTATTTTGGTTATTTTATTTTATTGAAAATATTTTTTTATAATTTGTTTTATATATGTGACTTTAAGAGGATTGAACGCCAATGTCAAAATGGTTTGTAAAAAAATTAAAAATAAAATAATATAAAGACATGGCATTGTGATTAGGGTCATCTCAACCCTCTATTTAGAATGGACGGTTTGATATAATGGACGGTTTGATATAATGGACGGTTTGATATGGGAAGCATATAAGTTTTAGGCAGCAAGGGAAGTATAGAAAGCATGCCCAAATCAAAATAGCTATTACTACAATTCTCTTGAGGAGAGGAGGCGATTTCATTGGTGCGGCTACGACAGTATTTTGCTGCATTCAAAACAATACTTTATTTAATGTATGTATAAGCTTTGGCTTCATGGGTTAGCTTAATATTTCTTAGCTCAAAGAATGAGCATGGTTGTGATTGTCGTGACTTTATATGCAGTCAATAAGCTGCGCTCGAAGAAGTGGGAAAAATAAAATAATACAACATGTATTGATGTTTTATAACTCATCATTCGCAATTCAAGCAATGGAATGCGTGTGCATCGATGATCTCGTCTTGAACATTATGGTTGTGAAAAAAATTAGCATTTTAAGCTCTAAAACAAGTGTATATTTTTTTTAATTATTTAGACAGTCCAATTCTCTCTAAAAATAAGCATTTAAAAATAAGCATTTAAAGATCGACAAGATTTGTACATTTTTTTAATTTCAAATTTTCTTTTTGATGTTGGAAATTGGTTTTAGAGCCATTTTGGAGATTTTTGTTGCTACTAGACAAAAATTTGACGTGAGGCTATATTTTGTTTACATAAAATCTTTCACTCTCTTTGGTTTTGGCTTTTCGGTTCCAAAGAGGGAAAGGGAATCTCAGAAGTGGATGTTCAGCTCAATCTCTCTAATTTATTTCAGATGGGTTTCGTTAAATGTAAACCCAAAACACATTGGATTCTACTAGGAGCATATAAACTTAACTTTGATGGGAGCTCTATTGGAAATTTTGGGTTAGCAAGATTTGGGGCAGTAGTGAGAAACTGGGATGGTCATGTTATATTCTCATTTGTTGGACCGCTAGGTGAGCCTATTGGTAATTTTGCCGAATTCTTTGCCCTCCATGGTATAAAGCTGTTTGCAATAACGAATTTGGGTTCATATCCATGTTTGGTGGGAGGGGATTATCTAAATGTACTCAACTGGTGTAAAGGGGAACAAAAAATTCGTTAGGGGTTTGGATCAATGCTTTTACAGATTGAACTCGTTCTTTATCTATCTCCTTCCTTCATGTTTATAGGGAAGCTAATGGTTTGACGGATAGTTTGGCCAAAAGTGGGGCATCCTTATCTGAGCCTATGGTCTCTAATGATGTAATGGGATGTAATGGTTTTCAAGTAGCGATTAATAAGATTTGATAATGTTCGTCCAAAAAAACAAAAAAGGCTTAGGCCTTAACTTCATCCTTTATTAAATATCAAATTCTTAAAAGAGGTTATTGCTTAATTAAGTATAAATCACACCAAAGGGGAACAAATATTAAATATTATGGAGTGATTTGATTTTTTTAAATATTTTATAAGAAATTGAAGTTTTTAAAAATCATACTACTTGCTCTTGAGGGCCTTGATTTTTAACAAAAATAGAACATAGTCCAGTATAATTTATAATTTGATTCTAATTAAGTTGAGAATTGAGCACTCTCACATATTGGATTGAGATCCCGACAGTTTAAGGCGTAAGACGAGGATCTTTTGAAAGGGAGCTTCTTGCTTGTCGTAATTCCATTATCCCAATCTTGACCTGGATCTTGGACCTGATCTTAATCTGGATCCCAACAATTATGATCCCCATTTTGCTATCAAAGTTTGAAAAATGGATTAGCAATCTGGATTGGCCATCTCAAAAATTATGGATTAGTGATCGGGGTCGGAAAATTGGACAGATCTGCTCATAAAATTTCTTAAAAGAAAAAGTTTATATAAGGTTGCAACCTTAAAATGTAGAATTACAAATGCACCTAAAAAATCCATCAGGAAAAAGGTTGTTTTAATAAGTGCATCTTGCAAGACCAACTATTTTTAAGATTTTCATATGTTTATAGATCTACTTGATTTCAACCATTTTTGAAGTTTAAAATTTTATACTTAGATATGAAAATAGATTTTTAGATAATCCTACGAATTTTTTACACCAAAATTACAACTTATAATAAACTTTGGAGGTGTGTCTTAATTGGATTGTTTAAGGTTGCAACCTTATAGAAACCACAACCTTTATTAAAATACTAACAATCTCTAAAAATAGTGCTTTTTTTAGTTTCTAAAAAAACATAGGACTGGTGGCTGGTGCATGATATATTTTTATTATTTTATAAAAATATGTGAAATATTAAGATGTTTTTATGTCTATATTTCTATTACCAGTCGAGGCTAGTGAAAGGTGGCTTAGTCATGCCAAAATTCCAACTAAAATACACCCGTTCTTCCACTTGATCGTGTTGATGCTTCTCTCGACGATTCATTGGATGGATTCATGCATGCGCGATAATCCAACTAATAGGAATTTATAAAGAAATAGAGCAAGGATTTCATGCAACGATTATATCATAATTGCGTACACTCTACAAATATGCTTATTGTCTCTCCTAAAATGGATTACATGCTTTCAAACTAATGCATTTAAGTAAATGAAGTTCATTAAAAAAATTAGCTAATATACTTTGTGAACAATATTGCATGAAAAATCCGATAAAAAAATACTACCATATTAAGCGATTAAAGAAAAAGGCATAACTTGTATAAAAAACAAATATACTTTATAACAATAAAAAAATCAAAATAAATCAACATGAATATTATGCCTTCGATTATCTTTCAAACGTATAAAATTGTAGCAAAAACGGTTTGATATCAAAGATTAAATCAATAAAATAGTGGTTTTTTCATAACCCTAAACTTTTCACCATGTGAGCAAGAAAAAAGTCACTCAAGGCTAAATAAATTTACCTAATTTATTTGAGAGATGAAATCTTGGTAATAACAAATCACAACTCAAATTGATAGAGAACGAGCTATAAATCGACTGGAATATTCAATTTTGGATTGGATCATCTTTTCAACAGCAGCATTTCCAGTAAAATTCAACCCACAATATTCAGTAGATTGAAAAAATCAATACACGGATCTGGTGAAGTTTTCGATTATCTTTCAAATATACAAAATTTCATCAAAAATTATTTCTTTTTGAAGATTTTATAGTAAGAAAGACATAAATTTTCGAGCACGTAAAAAATATGACAATTCAATGAATTGATTTGAATTTTTTTTTTTTTTCCTAAAACATGATTTTATGGTACATTGATTTCAATCAATAATTCAATGAACAAAAAAAAAAAAAAAAGAAAAAGGAAGCTTCAGCCCGTGTGCAATCGCCTACTTGCTCGTAAATCGGCGATCAGGGGGTGGGTGGTTTCCGTTTGCAATTCTAGTTTAGCACATTGCCGACTTGATAGTAAATCGGCGATCAGGGGGCACTGGGTGGTTTCCGTTTGAGTTTACGGCGAGGGACTGAAACCAATGGCGTCGCCACTCTCTCTCTCTCACTGCCCTAACTGCTCTCTCACAAAGCAACTCTCTCTCATCTCCATGCGTCCTCTCTCACATACCCACAAGCGAGAATCTCGTAGGAGCCCTCACACTAAATATCTCATCTCATCTCATCTTCTTTCAACATGGGTATGGGTTTTATTCTTGTGGTTTTTGTGGTTTTTTTTATGCTGATTTTTTTTAATTACCAAATGCAAACATTTTTTTCTCTATGATTTCTTCATGAAAATTTATTTTTTATTATTATTATTATTATTATTAATTTTACTTATTTGATTGAGTATTGGAGTACAATTTTGTCTTAAAATAAAACTTAAGATATGGGTTTCTTTTTCTTGTATTTTATTTTAATTATTTCTTGCAGGTTTTTTGTTTTTTATAGAAGTACAATTTGCACTCTATAGCACCCATGTGAAAGCCTGTAGTAGAGAGAAAGTTCCTTTTTACTGAGAGAGAGAAAGTCCCTTTTTAGAGAGAGAGACAGAGAGAGAGAGAATCCCGTTGTTTCTGCAATATATTGAACAAAAACTCATTCCAAGTCCGCCATTGTCTTGAAGCTCCAAGCTCTGTTTTCGTCGCCATAGCCTTTGGTCCAAAGCTTACATGTCAATTTCATGTCCTTTTGATTATGAATTTTATACCTTAAAACTGTCACTTCTGAAATTTTAGTGCAGTTGGTCGTTTTCAGTAATATCAGTGAGATCCTCATTTTCTACATAGCAAATTGTGGTAAACTAATTAGTTTACTGTCTCTCTATTTTTGAGGGATTTCTGATAATTATAGCATTGATTTAATTTCTTTTATTTGAGGGATTTCAGAAAATTTATATTTGAAGTTTGAAAATTTGATGAGTTGTGATGTGAAGGCCCCAACAGAGAGTTTAAAATGCTATCAATATTTGAAGTTTGAAAAATTGAGGACTTTAAAAGGCTCTCTATTTCTGATGAAATTTAATTAGTACATTAAATTTTACTGTAAATACTTTCTTTTGATCGATCTCATGTACTCCAATAGAAAAAGCAATGAACTTGCTTCTCAGACTAAGTTCACACTCTTCCCTGTTATTTATGACCGATTGCTTAGATTCTGTATGTTATGGGTATCTATGATTAGTGTTGCAATAGAACGGTTAAAAATAGGTATTATTTCAAATTCTGGGAGATAGTTTACCAATGGATTAAACAAACATAAAAAAAAACTGGGTACTCAGGAATTCTAGACGTGTGAACCACCTAAAAAAACAGGATTGGGAAATTCTGTTTACATATGAAAAATATTTTACATATGCAAACTGTTACGCATGAACAAAACGAGCCCCAAGATTCCCCCGTTTTCATTCCCTTTTTTATTTCTTAATTTTTCCATATAAAAGAACCTAGAGGACCTACAAACCGGCTCAAGCGGTTCTGATTTGACATGAACCCCAAAACATGGTTAATAGCTATTGGTCATTTTTGTATGGGTAAGCTGGTCATTATTCAAACCTTGAAAATTTTACATGGCCTCCATTGCTGCCACTCGCTTATACCTGAGTGCGTCTTTATTTGTTAAATCTTGTAAAGGATGTCAATTTAGTTTTGGTAGTAATTAGCAGAGCATTTAGTAATTATTTCTGTCGTGAAACTGACTATGAAATGAGTCTTTTAGAACTATAAAATTTTTATTCAAAAATTTTTTATGGTCGGAATATGCATTAAATATAGTTTGTTTGTACTTTGAAATGCTCTGATTTTTCCATAAATTTGTTTGTATGAATCTAGGTTGATAGGGTTTTTAGTTTTATTTCCCTGGTTTTGTTTCTCCCTGATTACTTAATTTTTTTTATGTGCTGTCTTGTAAGATGTTCGTTTGTGATTCAAGAATGAAACTACTGTTTATTCTTGTGAGGGTTGCATTTTATATATTATGGGATTAGAATTTTGTGTTAAGTGAAAATGGCCTATTTTTCTTTGTTTTAAGAATAGTCTAGGTATGTTATGCATGTTCACCATAGTGAATGGGTGAATATCCCTCTTTTGAGATGTTATGATTTGTTTGGCAGATAATTGATCTGTATTCTTCTGTTTTCTAAATAGAACTTCTTTTTTTTATTAAAGTCATGTAGTTTAATGTGGCATTCTTGTTTTGTTGTCTTCTTATTGTACTTTGAATGAATGAAAGGAAATTTGAGTTATTTCTCACTGTCTTGAAAAAGTGTAGTACTGAACATATCAGTATTTGTATGTATCGTTTTATAGCTGTTTTTATGTATGTATTTTATATTATATGGACTGATTTTATTCGTTTTAAGGGTAGCTTGAGCTGTTTCTCCACAGATCTTTTGTTTCCTGAATTTCTTTTTCTTTTTACTTAATTTTATTGGTGTGGCTTTTTATTCTCTTATGTTATTCTTTTATCTTTATTACCAAGGGATTGTCTACAAAGAGACCATTTATCTTTTGTACATGGAGATCACAATCATTCATCCTCATTAGATGTCAAATTGGATGGCTTGGGGTGAGTCACGAAGTCCGAGAATTTTTTTTTTGAAACTTTGTGTCTATTCAATGACACTCTTACAACCACCCATTTTGAAATTTAAGGGAAATAATGAATGTGATCTCCATGTATAAAAGATAAATGGTCTCTTTGTAGACAATCCCTATTACCAAATGGAAATTTATGTTAATGGAATCTCTTTTACCAGTAATGTTAAAGGAAAATTGACTTTTAATTATCTTATGGGTTCTTGTTTGCATCAATTACTCTGGATTTTTATGTTTCATACTCATGTTCTTTTTAGGTCCTTACCTTTTTAAAAATGAGCCTTGTTCATTGATTTGACACAAGGACATGGGTTGGGACTTGTTGGGATCCCAAGCCTGATTCATTGTGTCTGAATCGGCTGACTCAGCTGAATCTATGTAAAAAATAACACAGCAGGCCGTAGAACTGGGAACCGGCACTCTGTTGGGCCTGAGTAGCTACGGCACCGAGTTTAACACTCTTTTAATTTTTTTGATATCGATCATTGAAGTCCACTAAGTGATGTAGTTCATTATGCACCATCTTGTATTTTGAGTTTAAGTTGAGAGTAATCCATGTGACCACAGGTTTAAAACATCCCAGTGATGGCTCCACCGCCACCAAACACTGGCCTTTTTGTAGGACTAGACAAAGGCCATGTTGTGACCAAATGAGAGATTGATCCTCGCACCTCGGACAGAAAAGGGGTGAGTCCTCATCTCTGGAACCGTGTTCTTTATTTTTGTAGCATTTTCTTTATTTTCATGTTCATCGTTCTGAAACTCTTTCATTTGTTGTAATAAGTAGTGTTTGGTTTCATCTGATTATGTTTTGATGTATTTTGGGTATCCAAGGGGAAAAAGGTATTTCGACAACATTGGCTAGTGGCAAGCATTGGGAATGCTACTCCATTTCCAAATGTGTAGTAATTCTTGAAGTACATATGAAGAAAGATTATTTCACTTAAAATCTTTCCTGTGCTCAATGTTTAATTTTTTTTTTTGTGCTTGATATTTGCTTTAAATTTATGTAATATCTTGATGTAAATCTTCACAATCTCGATGCGGTACTTGTTGGCCTGTATAATGCATCTCTCTCATAGCATTGGAACTGGTTCCATACTAGTATTGATGCACTCTTATTGTGATGCACACTCATTGATTGTGCGCTTTTCTCTTCATCCTTATATTCCCACCCTCTGTGCATGCTTGGAGATCCATGATATGAAGAAAAGTTTACAAATGTGGACACTCTTTATCTTTACCCATTTTCTCTGTATATTAGTTACCTTAGAGTGACGGGCAAAACATTTTTCTACATTTCTGTGCATTTAATGTTATTTTGTTGTCTTTAATGTATTGTATCTCAATGTTTTGTTTGTGCTCTAGGTGTACTGTTTTCTTGGTTCTCTCTCAAATGCTATCTCTGTGATTTCATGATGGCAAAGAATGGATCACATGCAAGAACAATTAGAGAAGAAATTAAAGGCAAAAAGGCTTCAAACGTTAGTGGGACTCATAACCTAAATTCTCTGAAGAGAATTCAACACTTGCACAGATTGGCTACATTGTTATCTGGAAAAGCTTCTGTACCTTGTCTGGGTGCTCTCTTAGGACGTACATTGGCCGCTCATGAAGATGCCCTTGGGATACCACCTCTTGAATCAAATTTCTTTTCTTGCCAAAGGTGGGCATTTATTTGTTATATTACCTTTATTTTCTTCTAGAGAATTTAATTTGTTGAATTGCTTAGTTTATTGTCATCCAAGTATTTGTTTATTTTTTTCTATCTGGTTTCATCAGTATGAAGTACTATCGCTGTGAACATTCTTACAAAATTTGCGGAATGTAAATAGAAGGGTAGTTGGGGAGTGAAAAATGTAAATTAGTATTGTACTTCCATTGTATTTTTTCTCCTTCTTAGGTAATTTAGAAAATGCCAACACATCCAAAGTATATTTCTATTATATTCTGGTTCGTAATGTTGTACTTAACTGAGAGAAGACTCCAGGTTCTGATTTTGGCATTCAATTCTCCATTTTGAGGCACCTTTCCCATCTGCTGGCCTATGGACCCATCAATTACCCCAAACAAATCTCTACCCTCTGAAATGGTTAACCATGATGGATGAGTAGAGGAAAATGTTTCTCCCCTTGAGTTTGCTCGGCACAACAGATGATGTTCTATTCCCATCAGCCATTATTAAGCACAACTGGAGTTTAATAGGACAAGAATCAAAGAAAACCGGCACTGAAAGAAGAAAACCTGGAAAGAAGTGCTGGACTGCCCAGAACGCTAGTTTGATCACCATGAGACAAAATTGAAACTTGATAAATCTACTCCGATACTATATTAGATCGTAAAAGTACACATTTGATATCTCAGATCTACCGTGGAATGCATCAAATAGGTGAAAAATCAAGGTCACAAGGAGCATTCAAGAAGAGGTGCCTTACAACCAAGGAAAGACTTGGAAAAGTTTTCTGTAGCTCTAGATTGCACGCTCTTTCATCTTAAATATATAGAAGGTTAAAATCCTTTGCAATTTGTACATTTACTTAATGACCATAAGAATAAGAGAAAAAAAGAATGAAATTACCCTAACCAATTACAACTTTTTCACTTCGCAAGCTACCCTTCCCTTTACATGGAGACTTTCAGTTCGTTTGTTAAATTCACTTTGTTTATTAAACTTATTTTTAATCTTTAAATATTTTGTTTTGGTTCGTGAAACACGCAATTAGGCCATTTAAGATCCTGATTTAGATGTGAACTTGTGTCTATAGGTATTCAAGTTAGTTTTCGCAGGGGCATTGCATGGCACACTCAACTTAATTGTTGTTTTAGTAAATTCAACTGCATGGTGCAGTGTTTCAGAAAACGCTAGGAGGTGCCTAGGTTGGGGGGTCCAGGACACCTAGCACCTAGGTGGGTGGTTACAACCTGGGTAGCCCAATTGAAAGAAAAATGTCTCTATAGGCTAACAATATAAGTATAACTATATAACACATAATAGTTAGGGACTTAAGGCACATCGAATGTATAATACACAAGTCCACAGCACACACTCCTCCACACTCCAAACTTCATAGCAAAGTCTAGTACACAAGTCCACATAACACTCTCTAACTTTGGTTGCTCGATCTCCAAACTTCCACCTTTAAAATGCTTCTAAGGATGCAAAATCTTCTAAAAAACCCTCTAATAGATTTATAAAACATCCAAAACTAAATCTAATATCAATGGGTGATGCTTAAATCAATTTCTTGTAACTTTGAGAAACCTTTCGATATATGAAAATCATCAAAAACTAGTTTTTATGGGTTTTTTTCTCTCTAAAATAGGCTCTAATAGGGTTTAAGTTTTAAATGAACCTGAAACCCACGATTTTACCCCTAGAAAAACCAAAAGATGCCCTCAACGAGGGGCATTTCCGCCTCTGGGCAGGACGCAGGCCCTGGGTGGGAACCTAGGGACAGCCCACCATCGCCCAGGCCTTCTGGACCACCTAGGCAGCTGGCTTAGGCGCTGGGCAGTCCGCTTTTTAAAACAATGGCATATTGAGAGAGGAGAGGAGTGGATAAAAGGTCAGTCCAATGTTTCAGCAAGGATTCAGTGATGGAAGCTCACCAATGTTTCGATGAGGATTCAGTCACACAAACATCAAAGCTTTGTGCAGCCTTGAAAGATGGTTATATGTAGATCATCTTATTTCGTTTATCAAAACAAAATCTCGCTGCTCTGTATAATGAGATTCTTTTCTTTCGTTCTACATCCTATTATTAATTTCCGTACTTCTATATCCTATGATTAGTCTTCCTTATAGTAACATATCTATTATATATGTTGCTAGTTCTCACCGTAGGTATTGCCTATCACGTTGTTACCATCTAATACGTGACATTTTGAATGTATTTTGGGATTTTTGTCTGGCCTCGATTCATTCTGTATACTTTGGGTCCCTCTTTCTCCCTCTCTCAAGTGCCCCTCTCAAGTATTTGTAATTTTCCCTTTCCTGCTTTTGATCTCTTTACAGATGCAAAACCATTCTTCAGCCTGGTTTTAACTGCAGTGTTCAAGTAGAAAGAAATAGATGCGAAAAATGCCATGCCAAGCGTGGCTTTGCCCCACAAAACAATGTGGTATACATTTGCACTTTTTGCTCCTACAGGAACATAAGAAGAGGAACGCCTTGGGGTCACCTCAAGGCACTTTTTGTCCAAAGACCCGATCTTGAGGTAGGAAGAGATGCAGAAGCAGAAATCAAGGGTGGGATACCCAATGACGAGATAGAAAGAATTGGGTACTGAAAAACCTAAGCAATACCCAATAGACAAAGCTGGACAGAGATTGAAAACAAATGAAAAAATTGTCAATTTGGAGGGAAATGACAAATACAGCCAAGAGAACGAAAAAGAATCCAGCAATGCAAAACAAAATCAAGAGAGAGTGAAAGATCCCAGCACTGGAGAACCACAACAAAGCCCTGTAGAGAAAGCTGGCACCAAACCGATAACAGAAGGGAAATCTGGCTTTCTGGAGAGAACTGAGGCCATTATCGACTCTCCCATGTTAAAGACTATGGAAACTCCCTTAGGAAAACCAGTTTGTGTTTCATCAATGAAGAGGGGGTCTGAATCGAATTCTTCGACTGGAAATTCACAGAAGCAGAGGAGGAAATTATGGTCAAGTCTGAAAGAGCTAGCAACCGGTGGCAAGTCGATTCCATTTATGGGATGAGATAAAATGGCTTGTCGAAATTTGTTTTATTTTGTGAGATAATTTATTGTTTTTGGACGGAATTTGTTTTTGGACGAAATTTGTTTTATTTTGTGAGATAATTTATTGTTTTTGTCGAAATTTGTTTTATTTTGTGAGATAATTTATTGTTTTTGTGAGTTTGTTTTAGTTCTTAGGGCATGTTGTCCTTAACATCTATCTGATCAAACATTTTTTCCCTCTTTCTTTTAATTTCAAGGAGGAAGTAGAGGAGTACACCATGACTCTTGGGTTTAGGATGATGGAACCTTTGCATTCTACTTCACAAGAGAGAGATAAGAGTGTCAAGCTCACTGTAGTCAATGGTACAGAGAGAGAGAGTCAAGTCCTCATGATGTTGGCTTTATCTCTGGTCTTAAAAAACTCGACCTGAGTGGAAATTATTTTTTGGGTGGACCTGTTGCTGTATCTCTTGGAGAACTTCGAGTTCTTGAGCATCAAGACCTCGCCGGGTGTGGACTGAATTCTAGCATTCCATCTCAGCGTGGGCTTTGCACAAGCCTAAACTACTTCTTGAGCGACCACATTTTAACGGGTTCTTTGTCACCATCTCTAGCTACATTGCTTAGAATTATTTACTTCAGTATCACTAGCAATGGTATTACTGCAGCCATTCCTATTTATATTTTCAACAATTAGACTGCTCTAATGGAAACGGATCTCTCAATGAACTTACTCACAGGACCAATCCCGCCACGAATTGGTCTTTTCAATAACCTTCACCAAAATAAGATTTCAGGACCCTTTCATATAACCAGCTCAATGGTTTACTCCCTTCCTCTATTGGAAATCTTTCCGAGCTTTTTCTCTTAGACCTATACAGTAACTATCTCACTGGTTCTCTTCCTCCACAACTGCGGAACTTTGTGGCAATTAACTTTTTATCTCTAGGGTCAAATAATTTTCAAGGGCCCTTACTCCCTACACCTCAGTCTCAAGATCAAAATCTTCTCTATGTAAGCAACAACTGTTTTGGAAATATCCCAGTTGCTATAATAATGTACTTTCAAACGTCAACTTCTCAAATGTCTTACCCAATCGGATCCCCAAAGAATTGATAAGATTAGGTAGCTTGCTTATGCTCAACTTGACCCACAACCATCTCAGTGGAGAGATTCCGGACAAGATTCACAAACTGCAGGTTTTGGAATACGTCGATTTACCAAACGATATGCTTCGAGGTGAAATTCCTTTGAACATGCCATCTATGACATTCTTAGGGACTTTGAACTTGGGGTGAGATTTGTATAAGGTGTCAACCTTATACTATTGAAGTAAAGGTGCACCTCAAAAGTATGATGAAAATGTAGTTTCAGTTCCGTAAAGCCTTGTGGTGATATGAAAATCTATTATTACTTCTAATTATAGACTATTCATCACACACAAGGGTCATACATTCTCTCGTCTTTCATCCGGACATACTTCGACCTCATCAAAAGCTAAGCCACTAAACCTTCATCCGTTATATCTCTATGCCCATATACCTTGGGTTTTTCCAACTCGGCTGACCTAGCATGTTAAGCCTAGTCCGAGTATTGACAAATTGTATTTGCCTAGTATGGTCCACAAGCGGACCACACTCCCACTGAGTTTATGTTTTACTCTATACAATGTTCATACAAACTCTCATAAGGCCTTTAAGGCTATATAAATCCAATACTTCTCTCTGGATTGTTCCTCTTCTACACAATGCCTTAGTGATTACTTATAGAACTAATCACAAGGGATCAAGAGAAATATTGTATCATGTCAAATGTTAATCTTATACAAAATAGGGTCTCTCTTGTATGGAATGTTATATATTCCATAACAACTACCACACTTGATCGATTTCACACATCAATCTTTGATAATCTCATAAAAACTTTTGATACGAAAAGAGAATTTAAATAAGGGTGCGGTTTGTATAGAGCGTAGGCTCCAAACAATCAAATTAGGGCCTATTTTTAAATACTGTCGAGAAATGTGGTTTCAACACTAGAAATATTTGTGATAGCCTTAAATTATTTTCATATTTATTTAAAAAGTTTAAAGCTTAAAAAATGGTGTAGATCGACACATCTATAAAAATTTGAAAATCATGAAAATTGACGGTCAAAAAATGCATTATAAAATACATTATTTCCAAAACTGGAAATCAATTTTTTTCTTATGTCTGTACATCTTGATGTCAAGATGATCAATTTGAGGATTTTTTAACATCAAAACAATGTCGTCAAGTGAAATTTTTGAGGTAGGAAGGAATGTGATTGTTTACAGCCTCGGCTCTATATAAACTTTTCCCTAATGGATGATTTTGATAGAAAATAGGAACTCGTAGACCGTCGAAATGTTGATCACTTAATTGAAGTTTTAGAGAGAATGTCATTTCGTTTGCAATATCAACGAAATGAAATTTGTGTAAGAGAGAGAGATAGATTTCATACAAAACTCCGAGTAAATTTTCATGTCATTGAGTAATTATGAGAGAGAGAGTCCAGGTAAAACACTGATTCTCTTTAAGTCATAATCAAGGGGTCATCTAAAGGGCAAGACTTTAGAGAATTCCACACAACAAAACAAAACAAAATAAAAGCATGAGAAATTGGAGACAGAGAGAGAGGAAGATTCCATACAAAACATATTTTCTCAAGAAGAGATCACATAACACGTTTCTCAAGTGTGGTTATTTTTTTTTAACAAAGTGTAGTATTTTATTGGAAAAACTACGTCCATACCAGTTTATTGGAAAAATTACATCCATTTAACGGAAAAGTCCATAAATATGTGTCATTTAGATAGAGGTCCCTGTTGCCATTTTATTTTATTATTTATTTATTTATTTATTCATTTTTATACCTTGTATGATGTGTCATCAGACCGAATATTACTGTGGAAGAGAACTATTTTTAGACCTATTCGACGTTTAAATAATCAGACCGCCTTAAACTTAAAACCGCGCATTTGCGATTATGCGGTCCGAAGTCTAAAATATCAAAATGATATAATCATCAAAACATTAAGCAATCTGATGTTTAGACGAGTTCCTAAGAGTAAATTCCGGACCGACAAGCTTGATTTTATTGGAGATAGAACTGTTGGAACATTCTTCCTTGGAAAGAATTCATGCAAAGTATCGAACCATGGTTCCCAGGAATATCCAAGGCAAAGCAACCAAAACCTGTTATTAGAGGTTTCACCTGAAACACAAAACCACCATATTCAATCACCACACTTTGAATCTTTTACATTGCCTTGAAATGTAAAAGGAAAATTTCATAAACCCCCAAAACTACTTTTACCCCAAATTGAATTTTTTGAACAAATATCCCTCAAGTCAAAAAAATCATATATTTTTGACAAAAATGCCTATAGTGCCAGACTGCCTTCATTTTGTACTGGACCACATGCCCAAAGTGCCAGACTGCCCTTATTTTGTATCGGAACGCATGCTTTTCAGAAGCCTAGTGTTGGACTACCCCCATTTTATGTCGGACCACCCCTATTATGTACCAGACCACATGTCTAAAGTGTTGGACCACCCCTATTATGTACCGGATCTCATGCTTTCCAAAAGCTAAGTGTCGGATCACCCCCATTTTGTGTTGGACCGCATGCTTCTCAGATGATATTTTGGTCTTCATTTTACTCGTTTTTTTTTTTTTGAGACGTTGCAACATTAAAATCTAAAATTAAAGATGCATCTCAAAAATCCATTGGAAAAAGTTGTTTTAATGTTGGAAAATCTTCTAATTGATCATCTCGACATCGAGATGTATGAATATAAGAAGAAAAAAAAATATTTTGAGTCCCAAAAATAGTGCATCTTGCAACACATTACCTAGACCTTCCATTTTCAAGGTTTTCATATGTTCATAGATCTACTTGATTTTAACCATTTTCGGAGTTTAAAATTTGATAATTAGATATGAAAATAGATTTTCATATAATCCTAAGAATTTTTTACACCAAAATTACTTAAATTTTGGACGTGCGCCTTAATTGGATTGTTAAGGTTGCAACCTTGACAGCTGTCCAATGATTAAAATATCGGATGACACGACAATATTAAATATTATCGTACAATGTTTTAAGCCTCGGACCACTTTTGAACCTTATGTTTTTGTACGTGTAAAGGCGTTCTGATGTTTGTTACATCGGACCACCTCTAAACCCCATTTTTTATGTTATAAGATGGTCAGATGTTTTGAACATCGGATCCATCGAAAAAAGTATTGGTAACCCAACTTTTAGAGTATTTCGATATTTGAAGCATCTAACCGCTCCCAAAATGTCTATCAAACAGTGCCAAAATTTATTTATTTTTTTAAAAAAACAATTAATATCCTATCTGACATTTGAATAATCAGACCAGTGACAAAATTGGGGCAAAAAAGAAAAGAGAAAATATCTCCTTATCCCCCATTTTTTGACTTTTATATCTTATAAGACTCCATGATTGAAAATATTACTTGTATACAAATGACATCTATATTTTCTATCTTACAATCCCCTGGACCCTTTTGACCATGAATTTTTTACTCAAAGAAACATTAAAATGACACCTTCTCAAAAAAAAGAAAATTTTATGTTAACGTTCTCTCTCTCAAATCACTGTCTCTCTCTCAACTCCATCTTTCTCTAAAACCCAAAGTTTCAAAAAAATTCCCCTCTCTATATTGGCTCTTTCTCCTCTCTCTCTAAAAATTATCTTCCCTCTACATCGACTCTCCTTGCAAAGACATATCAAAGTGTGATTGCAAAGACATATCAAAGTATGAAACTGGCCGTACCGGTTTGGCATAACTTTTTTTTTAAGAGAGGGGAGTTTTTAGAGAGAGAGAGAGAGGAGAGAGATGATATAGAGAGGAAAACTTCTCTGTAATTTTGAGTTTTAAAGAGAGAGATAGAGTTGAGAGAGACGGTGATTTGAGAGATAGACGACGTTAATAGAAAAGAAAAAAAATTTGAGAGGGTACTATTTTAGTGTTTTTTTAAGTAAAAAATTCATAATAAAAAAGGTATGGGGGTTGTAAGATAGAAAAGACGTATACCTTTAGGTAACCAAGAATATTTTCGGTCAATAATTCTCATGCGAGGCAGAAGTTAAAAATACATGGAAAGGAGATATTTTCGATAGAAGGTAAGGAGATATTTTTTCCAAAAAAAAAAAAACTGTCTTGAGACGTGTATAAGTATATACTACCTATTTAAGTATAGTGCAAACATAATGGGTGCGTACACATTGTTTCGTATTTTTATTTGGCGTGAAACATGGTAGTACGTAAAGTGAAAATGGCACGTCCATATTCTTTTGCATTTTTAAACACGCCAGTACGAAACGTGAAAACTCATGGTGGAAACAATGAAAATTCAACGGTAGAGATTGAGGAAAGGCAGAGCTCATAAAAGTCCCCAACCCAATAATTCATCCCCTTTTTCCACCGTCTATAAATTTCGAAACTGAATCCTGTATTCAGAGCAAGCCAATTCAGTCGCTTTTGCATGCAATGGAAATGCAGAGGTTTCCAATCTCTATCTTTTTGCTCTTTCCAATTGTTTTGGGCCTTTTAGTTACATCCACTGGTGTATCACTTGTTGAACTTGAAGCCGAAGCACTATTTAACTGGAAAACCAGTCTCAATGCTTCCAATTTGGATTCATGGTTTCTCAACTTCGCCAACCGGACCAGCCATTGTGGGTGGGCTGGTGTTCGATGCGGCAATGGTGGACGCATAATTGAGATAAAACTTTTCAATTTCGGTTTGAGAGGCACTCTCGATGAATTGAATTTCTTGTCATTACCCTATTTAACCCACCTCAATCTTAGTTCGAACAATCTTGAAGGAAGAATCCCGAACTCCATTGGCACTCTTTCGAACCTCAGTGTATTGGATTTGGGCAGCAACATATATTTACAGGTTTGGTGCCCGTGGAGATTGGCAATCTCACAGAGCTTCACAACATTTCTCTCAAAAACAACTCCCTCTCTGGCTCTATCCCTTATCATCTTGGTAAACTAAAACAGGTATGGTTTCGGGACTTTGGAGAAAACCACCTGACTTCTCTCAACTCAACCAGATTTCTGGACATGGAGTCGCTTTCTTACCTCTCTCTACGTGAAAATTCTTTAACAAAGTTTCCAACCTTACATTTTTGGATGCAAGAATTTGGTACACATGGATTTGTCACAGAATTCAATAACTGGTCCCATTCCCGTTGAAATCAAGAAGCTAACAAAATTGCAGGAAATTATGCTACATGAAAACAATTTCACAGGTTCAATTCCTCATGAAATTGGCTTAATCTCAGGTCTCTGAAGGCTCGAATTGAGTGATAATTATTTTATGGGTGGATGCATCCCTGAATCTCTTGAGCAACTTCAAGCTCTTGAGAGTCCACACCTCTCCAGGTGTGGATTGAATTCTAGCATCCCGTCTCAGCTTAGGCTTTGCACAAACCTAACCAACCTGGAACTTGATGAAAATAATATAACAGGTTCTTTACCAGCGTCATTTGCTGCATTGAGTAGAATTTCTTACTTCAGTATTTATGACAATGGTTTGACTGGTTCTATCCCTTTATGCATTTTCATCAATTGGCCTGATTTAACAAGTTTGGTTATGGGAGAAAACTTATTCACAGGACCAATCCCCTCAGAAATAGGGCAGCTAACAAATCTTCACAAATTGGATCTTTCAGGGAACCAGCTCAATGGTTCACTCCCATCCTTCATTGGAAACCTCTCCAAACTTGCTTACTTGAAGCTTGATTGCAACCATCTCACTAGATTTCTTCCTCCAAAAATATGGAACCTTGAAGACATCCAATTTTTAAGTCTGAATTCGAATGATTTTCAAGGGCCATTACTCCCTGGGCCTCACTCTCAAGACCAAAAACTACTCCATATAAGCAATAGCTTTTATGGAAAAAACCCAGTTTATTTGGACCAAAATAATAAATATCCGAAAGTCTACTCCTCAAATGTTTTGCCCCATCAAATCTGCAATAAGTCAGAAAGATTACAACATTGTGCGAGCATGGCTACATCCCAAGTGGAAATGAGTCATCTCAAATTTCGGAAGCTAGAAATCCTACGCCTCTTGGACAACCAATTTTCAGGTTCCATTCCAAGAAACATTGGGCAAGTCATGCCAAATCTGAAATGGTTTGATGTCTCTGAGAATCGTATTACGGGATTGATCCCCAACTCCATAGGAGAGATGGTAAATTTGAGTAGTCTCGAACTTTCTGGAAATAAATTGATGGGTCCTATTCCTGCTACCCTGGGAAACCTAATTAATCTTCAGATCGCGAACCTTAGTCACAATGCATTATCAGGTGAGATTCCATTGTCATTGCGAAGTTGTTCGAAATTGAAGCTTCTTGATCTCAGTAAGAACCAGTTGTCAAGGAACATTCCATCTTGGATAGGCAAAAGCGTCAAGTCTCTTCATATCCTTCTCCTAAGATCTAATATGTTCAGAGGGGCTATTCCTCGGGGGATATCACACCTATATTCACTTCAAGTGCTAGATCTAGCATTCAATAATTTATCAGGCACTATCCCGGCCATTTTCAACAACTTAACAGCAATGATCATGTCCAAGGCACCAAAGCATGACACAAGGGACTTGGAGATATTCATGTCCAAGGCACCAAAGCATGACACAAGGGACTTGGAGATATTTATAGAAGGTTGTGTACCATTTTATTTTTACCGTGTCAACATATTTGCAAATGGTAAAATGTGGCAATATAAGCGGATCTCTTCTCCTGTGACAAGTACTGACTTTTCAAGCAATAACTTATCAGGAAGGATTCTAGAAGAATTGACAAGATTGAATAACTTGTTATTGCTGAACTTGTCCCACAACCATCTCAGTGGGAAGATTCCAAACATGATTCACAAAATGAGGGGTTTGGAATACCTTGATTTATCAAACAATATGCTTTCCGGTGAAATTCCTCCAAGCATGCCATCTATGTCGTTCTTAAAGTGTTTGAACTTGTCCTTCAATAATTTATCAGGACCCATTCCTCATAGTGGCCAGTATGACTACATTTGATGCTCCATCGTACTATGGGAACCCACATCTTTGCGGTCCTCCTCTTCCAGAGAAATGCACTAGCAATGAGCCATGCCCAAATTCAGGCATCAGCAGGGATATAAGAAATGGTCCATCCGAGATTCCATGGTTTTGGATTAGTATTGGTTTGGGCATTGGTATTGTATTGCATTGGTTTGGGCTTTGGTATTGCATTGCAGAAATTTTGATTACAAGATTCCAAACTTTGATTTGCAGTTGTATGGGTCGAAATATTTGAGAAGAGGGGTTTAAGAAGATTTGGTGTATAGTGATTCGCAACTGCATGGCTTGAAACGTTTGAAAGAAGCTTGTGTCATGCATATCATTGTGCTTTTATTATTGTTTTTTTTTTTTTCGCACGAGCATTTCTTGTCTTTGTGTCGTGGAAGTTCAGTCCAATGTAAGTTGTGAAAGTTGAGTTTAATGTAAACAAGCACTGCGAGAGAGAGAGTTCTGTTTTTTGTTGTGGAAAACCTGAGCTTCCATGGGCCGGTAGAAAAAAGGTAGAGAGAGTACTATACTATACCTGTTGCGGGGGAGGAGAGAGAGAGAGAGAGAGAGAGAGGCACATTCTTTTGCATTGGGAGAGAGACATTTTTATGCATGGGGAGAGATGCTTCAGATATTGAAATCCTCTCTGAGTATGGAATTAGGAGTGAATGGACCAAACTGACCCGGCTAGGTCTTTCAGGCTTTCTATGACTCAGGTGGGGGTTCTCACTTTTGGTCTGACATTCATGCCGGTCAGCGGGCTGGGCAAGACTTCACTTTGGGTTAAATGGATCGGCTTTCTTGGCCTACAGATTATGCAGTCCATTAACTACTTTGCGTTTGAGTCGTGAAGTAGAAGTTCATGCAATAATGAGCACCCTGTGCAATGAGAAATACACATAACAAAAATGGAATATACGTAAAAATAAATAAATAAATAAATAAAATCTTATACACTAGACAGAACATGCATACACGTACACCAAATCTAGAGAAAAAAAACAATGCACATAAAAAATAACGTAATCAAAATCGGACAATTGTCCATGATGCCGTGGTCCTATCTCTCAATTCCCCATTCATCCTCTCACTCATATGAGAGTATTTGGTTTGTGTCAAAACATTTTCCAGATATACTTTCAGGTGAAAAAATTTTATGCGTGGGAATATTTTTACACCAATTAACTGTCAATTAGTACAAAAGATGCGCTTTTATCAATTGGTGTAAAAAATTCTCACATCTAACTACATAAAAGAATTCTTTCATATAAAAATATTTTTCAAAAAATATTTTCACACAAAATAAACATGCCCTAGATGCACGAGGCTCTGTCTCTCTTTCGGCCTCTATTGGTCTCACAATGCCACATGCTTATTGAAGATAGCACAAATTCTCCCCAATCCAATCCTAATACAGTAACATCAATCTATAACATCAATCACGCAAGAGTTCCTAGACTAATCCAATTAGTTTTCCCCATCTTATCCAAATCTACAAACTATTTTGACACTAAAAAATTTTGCGCATCGACTCCTCTCTTAGACTCACAATTGTAAAAATATATATAAAAAATATTTTCAATACAATAACCAAACTACCTCTGAAATGTTTAATGGGTATTTTGGTTGATGTATTTTATCAAAAAAAGTTAAATATTTTCTTTAGGTGCGCCCCATTCAGAAGATAGCACATATCAAATTTTATACTCTTACAATTTGTAAAAAAATAAAATAATAATAATAATAATAACTAAAATAAAATATGTCGGATCTAGATCAAACGGTTAGTAGTTCACTTGATCTGAATTGGATGGTTGGATGGAACACCGGTGGGGGGGGAGGGTGTAGGGGGCAGTATAGAAACTTTTCCTTTTTATTAAAAGAGGAGGTAATTAATCAATTAAATAACAAAGAAGGTAAAATTGATATAAAAAGGGATACTTTCCCAATAATAAAGGTTCACCACCTTGCTTAACATATATGAAGATTTTATATAATATCTCCTTTTTGTGTAAAATATTATCATATTTGCATTTTACGCTCCTGCTATTTTTTTGAGGTTTTAAATTTTTCTCATGATACTCCAAAATTGGAAATTCCAAGTTCTAAGTTAGTTTTTGTTTTTTTTTTTTTTGGCGAGAAATTTACAAAAGAAGACTGACCCGGCTAGCTCTTCCGGGCCTTGTATGACTCAGGTGGGGGTTCTCACTTTTGATCTGAAATTCATGCCTGTCGACGGGCAAGGCGAGGATTCACTTCGGTTAATGGCTCGGCTTTCTTGGCGTACAGATTTTGCAGTCCATTATCTAGTTTGTGTTGAGTCGTGCAGGGGAAGATCGTGCAATAATGAGCACCCCTGTGCAATGAGAAATACACAACAAAAATGTAATACACATAGAAAAAGATCACCTATGCACTAGGGAAAAAAAAGCATGCACAAACGCACACCAAATCTAAAGAAAAAAAATCAACGCATATAGAAAGTAATGTAATCAAATCGGATATTTGTCCATAATGCCGTGGTCCTATCTCTCAATTCCCCGATCACCCTCTCACTCATATAGTCACGTTTCGTTCACGCGAAAATATTTCTTGAATATATTTTTACATGAAAAAATTCTCTTATGTGGTTAGATATGCGAATATTTTCATACTACTAAATGAAATAAATATGCCCTAAATGCATCGCGAGGCTCTCTCTCACGGTCTCTATTGGTCTCACAAAGCCCCATGCTTATTGAAGATAGCACAATGTCTTTCCAATCTAATCCGAATACAGTGACATCAATCTAAACCTTATGGAGTACAAAATTTATTGGCAAACAACATTGATAAAAATAACCATATTTTAGAGAGAGAAATAAAAATCGAGAAGGAAATCATAAGAAAAAAGAACAAGCACGCGAATCCGAGGAGTCCGGCACAAGCCCACAAGCACAAGAGGTAAGAAGAAGAAAAACCCATAAATAAGGTATTATCTCGCTCTCTCTCTCTCTTTCTCTAGCTTTCCATGTACTTCAAAGTACCATCAAATTTTATTCACATCTCCAATATCCAAACTTTTTCATGTACTTCAAAGTACCATCAAATTTTATTCACATCTCCAATATCCAAACTTCTGTTTACAATGGCCTTCTTCCCTTTTAATACAAAGTTTTCTTTCTTCCTTTGTAAGACAAATACACGATTACGATTCTAAAACCTATTCCTAATAGAATTCCTACTCATGCACCATCCAATACATAAGCCCCAAGAATACCTTTTTAAAGTTAAGTCCAACTCACGTCTAATAGGGCCAAGCCTTATCCAAAGCCCTAAGATTCCAAAAAGGCAAATATAAGCCTTTCACAAATAAATACAGACTTATCCATTCATTAAAAAACGCACTTCCTAAAACCAAATTAACGGACTCATAAAAAAAATGACTCATTAAAAAAAATTATTTCTTTGTCACCCAATCACGATCCGACCGCTCCAGATAGTCAAGCGCGATAATCTCGAATGCATGATCCTGCGCTGGTTGGAAAGAACTCGTCATTGAGTTAAGCTCTTCGTCACTAAAAGTATCTCTTGCATAGGGAATTAAGTGCTTGACATTGAAAACATCAGAAGTCCTCAGGTGGCTTGGTAGCTTTAACCTTGTAGGCATTGTCATTGATTTGTTTTATAATTTCGCATGGTCGGATCTTCTGATTACTGAGCTTGTTATACCCCCAGCAGGATATCTGTCTTTGGAGCCCACACATAATCTCCAACTTCGCACATTTGCTTGCGACGGTGCTTATCTACAACAACCTTGTATTTTGTATTACTAACTTCAATCTGCTTCCTAACCTGCTCATGGATATCTTTGATTTGATCTGTTAAATCTTTTATCTTACCACTAGATATCCCTGCATGAGGTATAGGAGTCAAATCTAGCACACTGCTTAGATTATATCCATAGACAACTTCAATTGGGCATTTTTGAGTAGTTTGATTATGGGACCTGTTGAAAGCAAATTCAGCTTGAGGTAAAGCCAAATCCCACTGTTTCGGCTTGTTTCCTACCAAACTTGTAGACACTCCATTTTAAATCCGGCAAATTCTATGGTTTTCTGAACCCTTAGGACCACATTATCCTAGTAAACCCAATTTAATTACCTCAAAACTACCCAAATCCTATCCCAACTTGAAGTAGAGCCCAAGAGCTTTCCAACAGTCCAAAAATCGTCTAAATCGAATCTACGGATAAAATGATATAGCAAATGAAAATTTAGTCCCTGTGAGACCCAATTGTTGGGCCGCAGGCCGGGCTATAACAGACCCCATAGGCCCAAGCGTGGGCTAATCACATAGTCAACGTATCTGATGATGCAGTAAACTGGTTTTTCTTAATTAGATATGGCTAAAACTTCAAGATAAATCCAAAAATTCTGGAAAAATTCCAAAAAAAATTAAAAAGAATCATCAATTGAATCTTATAAATACCCCCTCTCCTTAACCCAAAAGGAGAGAGAAAAAGAAACAAAAAAAACCTTATAAATTTTCGAAATTAGAAAAATTACCCAAAAATACCAAAAATAAGAAAAACCCTTAGAAAATTCCTAAAAATTTAGAAAAAATCCCAAAAAATTAGAGAAAATCCTAAAAAAACCTACGACTTTAGAAAAATCTCTATATTGAAAACCCTAGAGAAGAGAAAAACCCTAGCCTCCTGAGACCCTAACCCCTAAGCTTGAGAAAACCTAGACCTAAGGCACAACAACCCTAAATGAAAACTAGACTTAGGGCACAACTACCCTAAATCTAACGTTTCAATACGAGAGATCTGTTGGTCAACATTCGAATCAGAGAGGCAAAGATAACCAGTTCTGATACGGGCAACCCCTCGAAGGCTTGGGAGTCCCGGACCATCTGACCCGATTTGGTATTCTTTTTTCCTCTATCTTTCTTCTTCTTTTACCGTTTTACTTATTTTGATATGTTAAAC